TTAAGCAAATAAGACGTAGCTCTAATATGAGCAGTAAACAATCTAACATATATTTTTTATTTCAGCATTAGTAAAATGTCCTTTAAACGATTCTGATAATGTTTCTCCTTTTAGTGTGTTGAGATAATGGTAACAGTTAGCTGATAAGGTTTAGTCTATTGGTTTTGTATCAATTGTCTAGTATCAGCAGCAATCAATCTAGCATATATTTTTATTTCAGCATTTAAAATGTCCTTAAACGATTCTGATTATTTATGTCCCTTTAGTGTGATTCAGAGGAGTGAGGACACTCATAAGTCAGGAATGGCCGAATGTTATCGACGCGTATGATCCTTATGATAGGCAGTCATTTTCACGCCGTGCCTGCACCCCGTGTCCGCTGATGTTTGCGAGTAGCGGAGTAGTAGGCTTTGGAAACAGTTGAATGTCAGAGAGTGTTAATTTTCGGCCGAGAGAAGACGTTGTTTGTCAAGATAGTTAGAATTATATTTTAAATATCAATTTCTGTTAAATATATTAATCTCCCGATTACACTTATATAATCTTAAGATCAAACGAACTTACCTTAAGTGATGTTCAATATTACTGGCAATAACCCATCGCAAATACATATGTACATGTCATACTATTTCCATCGTGTTATCCAGTAATTCATTAGCTGACCCATCGTACATATTGCAATATTTGCAATATTTCCACTGGTGTCATCGAGAAACTTGTATTTTAACGACCCATCGTAAATATGTGCCTTGTGCAATATTTCCATCGTGTCAGTCGAGAAACTCTGTGATTTTAAACTGACCCATCGTAAATATGTGCCTTGTGCAATATTTCCATCGTGTCAGTCGAGAAACCTTGTGATTTTAAACCGACCTATCGTAAATATGTGCCTTGTGCAATATTTCCATCGTGTCAGTCGAGAAACTCTGTAATTTTAAACTGACCCATCGTAAATATGTGCCTCGTGCAATATTTCCATCTTCTCAGTAGAGAAACTCTGTGATTTTAAAATGGCTCATCGTGAATACGTGCCTACTGAGTACATATTCCCACTGTGCCAAATAGAAGTAAACTGATATTGACGTCAGAGTAGTCTGACTCTTGTCTGACTAACGTCCTTCCTGTCTTTATTTCAGCAACTGGCATGGAGATGGTCTAGTGTGCTGAATCTCAACCCAAAACCTTTTAAACGTAACGACGTTTAGCTTTGAATGTTTAATTATATTTTTTAAAAAAAAAAAAAAAAAAAAAAAAAAAAAAAATTAAAAATAGAAAATTAAAGTTTTGTTGTTATAGGTACCTATATCATAGCCTCTTTATTTTTCTATGTTTTGAACTTGTACATTCCGAGAGCGGAATGATGTCAGTTTGGCCGTAAGTTAGATCCTATTTTAAATATAAGAATTTGGCGCTCTTTTTAATTATTTGGTTGCTCACGCATGTGCGCCTAAAAACTAACACGATATACGGAACTGCTATGGAACGAAAACGGAATGTATAGTGAACAATCAACCTTTTTATAATATTATTTAAATTACTATATCATCAATATGCATATTAAGCATCATTTATTGATATCTATATTACAGGTAGCTAATTCAGTGCTCTAAAATATATGTATAGAGAAAGCCAGTTTCTTTTTGAAATTACACTAAACGTTAACCTATCTTTTTTTTAGATTTTAAGATATAAACATTGATTTTTTACACATTCAAACTCTTATATACATATTATTTAAGCAAAGTAGTCTAGAAAATCACACACGCTACAAATAATATGAACACTTTTAAGAATGAATTAGGTATTTTAATTTCACTACTTAAGTCAATGCTTTTAAAAATTCCAGAGAACATAATTTTTTGTTTGCATCAACAAATTTTCATGAAGAACTGAGGACATTTTTTAATGTCAGTATATTTATATTAATCTCTCCTGATTCTAGATGAGACATATAGATAAAAAATTATATCAAATATTGCAATAGCATAAACCTTATCTAATTTTTAAAGAGACACTATAATAAATAAAAAAGACACAATAGTATAATGCTTTTTTTGGAATGTAACATTTTATTAATAAAAATCAAGAGGCTACATTTTAATTCGTAAATGCATTTATAATTTTAATACTTTCATAAAAAGTTTTATATAGATCTTAACAGTATTAATCTTTGAAATAAAAACTCTAGATTCAGTCATCTGTAGATTTTAAGGCACAGATATATTGTTGTTAATTATTTTCAGTACCGATAAATATTTTAATTAACAGTTCACTAACAAATTTATTAATAATAATATGTGTTTGATATTTTAAATAATAACGATGATTTGGAATAATCATACATATATAATTACATTTTTTAAATTGAGTGACTTGTGTTCATTATTTAAAATAATTATATTGAAATATATTCTGCTAACAAGAATATTGATATCATAACGTGATGCATTGTGAAATTATATTAAATTATTTTTAGGTTTGTGGGAACATATGAAATATAATTATGAGCATTGAAGCAATAATGAACTGACAGTTTATGTTTATTTTTGGTGAGATAATGAACTAAACGAAAAAGTTTAAAACTTTTATAAAAATTATAGTTGTTGCATAATTTTTTAGTAACATTTTATCACTATAAGATAATATCTGGTTTTGAGTAATAAATTTGACTGTAATTGATCGCCATAAAATACATGTGCAAATTTTTGATTTTCAGAGCTGACTAACAAATATCTAATGGTAGAAACATTATTGTTTATAGTAACAATCTTTCAAGTTTTCAAACTGGTAATACAAGAAAGATATTTTATATTTAAAACATATATTCTTCATATTTTAATCACTCAGCATATGTGGCGAGAGCAACTTCTGAAAAAAATTTAGAAATAAGAAATGTCACATTTTCATTGATATTATGTCTTATTATGATTATCAAAATATTTTTTTCAGTCTGCTTAGGTGGTACTTTTTTCTAAGTTAAATGGTTAATCTGTTTTATATTTTATTTGTTGTTAACACAATCAATGTCAAGTTTGCAGAAATAATATCGTTATATGTATTAAGTTATTTTGGAAATAATATTATCTTCCACCCAAATTGACACATGAGTAATCAATACGTATTTAAACCTTTTATGATTTAATGTTTAAATTGTTGCATTAAACTTAAATTAATCCTTTTAAGTTTAACAGAAATGTACAATAATTATATTATACTTTCTAAGTTTAAAGTAATGTATAGAGTTTATTAGTATTAGTGCTAATTTTGAAAGTGCGTCTTAATGTTAGAAGTATTTTTGCACAATCTAGCCCTTTTACATTTTATGTACAAATAGCCTATCTAGGTGCTATTCCTACAATAGTAAATTGTCCAGTATTTGCTGTTCTTTCTAACAATTTCTTCGGCAACCTTAAATATTTTTCTCAACATTCCATAGGTTTAGTCTTTACAAATTTGAGAATCTAGAATAAATTTAAATCTAATATTCAATAAAAAAATCCATATATACTCCAGCGTGAATTTCATAATTCGGATGAGATCAATATTAACAAAATATTGAAAGGGAAAGAAATATAAAGCTTTATTCCTTTTAAATTGTATTATTATATTTGAAAAAAATATATTAGATAAGCAGTCTACATACAGGGCGAGTCTTAAATAATTGCAAATATTTTTAGGGGTGATATATTTCGATCCCAGAGACAGGTCTATGTTTTTTTTTTCGCGAAAATTTTTATTTGAACAGAAAAATTTTCTTTTGAAAAATTTTCTTTTGAAAAATTTTTAGTTAAAAATCGTAATATCTTCATAATATGGCAATATGGGTAGTATATTAAATTTACAAGAAAGAAATCCCAGAAAAGATCCAGCGGTTCTCAAAATCTATGCGAAAAATCTTTTTTTTTAATTTCCAAAGTAAAATATTTCGGTTATTTTGGACTTATTTGAAATATGTTTTTTGAATATGTTTCTTTTATCGAGATCTACCAGCTCTGAAAATATTTATTTTGGACTCAACCTGTATAATATTTTTATTACAAATATCACGTAAGTCAGTGACTATTATCAATCTATCTATTTCTTGCTAATATTCTTTATACTGTAAGATAAATAAAAATCTGTCCATGTGAATACAATCAAATATACCAAATGTCATTTAGAGAGAAATAAATGAAGAAATGTTAACGTTAAAATGTTACTTTGTAATATGTAATCGCAAAACATTTTCCGATGCACGTCATCAATCATATCGACATTGACCCTATGTCTATAAACCTGGCTAAATGAAATTTTGGCAAAAATGTTTAAATTTGTTGTATAATTTAAGATACCGAGCAGCTCTTCATTTGACTTTATAGATCAAATGTAACATATTTTATTTATACTGCAAAAATTAGTTTAGACCGAAGTTTATTATCGCTATATTGGTCACATTGGACCATTTTTTTTGAGTAATTTTTTGCGTCATTTGCGCCATTTTGAGAGTAATTCTCGTTTTTTGCCTATTTTCATAGTTGTTTTTTAAATTGTACTTTTAAGTACAAACGCTTCTTTGAAGAACTCAATTTTCAAGTTTTTGTATTGCATTTCTTGAAATTGTGTGTTGAAAATATGCCAAAGCATTTAAACAGTCGAAGCAAAGAGCTTGTACAATAAAGGTCCTTTTTTACCCTTGACTGCAGTCAGAAAAGTTAGTTTGATTGATAAGCACATTGCACCTCTTTCAATGTTATTTCTACGTTAGTTTTAACTAAATTCTGTTAAATTATTAGTTTGTGCAATAATAGCACCCTCTTACTTGTTATTACCATTTAATGGCGTTGTAAGATGTACTTCAATAAATAAATAAATAACCCATAATAACGCTTAGAATAATCTTCCTAATGGACTAGTCTTTGCCAATATGTAATAAGTAAAATAAGCTATAAAACAAATAAAGATAAAAAAGTCTTTAAAAAATTATAAAATAAATATATTGTTTGTCACTTTTTAATTAAGATTCATCTCATAAATCCATCACAATTTGGCAGCGCTGTCGCCATCGCTTGTCACTCAAAGTTGATCACGTGCATCGGAAATTGTTCTGCGATTACCATACTTATTTTACTTTATATACTTATGATGACGATTTGGTATTTAATGGTATGAGATCTTTAAATAAAACTTTCTCTTCAATTATATATATATTTTTTAATTTTTAATAATAATTTAGCTAATTTATTAAAAATAAATGTATTTTTATTCAAATTGTAGATAAATAATTACGATTTTTTTCTATAAATTTAGCTTCAAGCTGGAGGTGTCTATGTATTGGTTTATATTTAAAAAATTTAAAAAGACGAAAAAGTGTAAAACGTTTAAATTTATTTTCTTAAAACATATAATTTCTCTCAAACTATCGTTTATATTTACACTGAAATAGCTAATTATTTAAGTGTAAATATAAAATATAAAAACCATAAACAAAAACTTATTAAAGCAAATAGTGACGTTACCAAGTCAAGTGCACAATGTTTTTATAAAAACATAATTTGAAAATTCCAAATACAAAATCAATTTATACCTTAATAATAAAATAAATATAATTAATGTAATATGTATTTCGAAGAGACTACGGCAGCTATCAGCACAAAGACTGCAGTTGGTTTCAAAGAACTTCCAAGGCTAACTCTGATGTCGTCTTTTTTCAAGAATGGAGCGTCGATGACGTGTATGATCCCATTAACGCATTCGACGTTGGCTCGGAAAACGGGTATTTTTTGTTCGTTCCAGTGAATGATGTAAGCTATAATGTAAAGAACAAGCTATTAATTATATTATCTTTTGTAAAATTATTCTAAATTATTACTTAAAAATTTTTAACAAGAAGGAATATGGAAAAAATGATGTAATGTTTGGTTTGAAAGTTAAAGAGAAAGTATGATTTGCTGTAATACTCTAAAACGGCCTCTACACTATGCAGCGAACTCTTCGAAGTACGTCAAGGTGCCTTTCGTCACCCAACTTTGTCGCATTTTGGTTTATTTCCAGTTGTCTTGACCCACTTCGGTTTGCCTCGACCTACTTTCGATTTTTAAAACCGCCTGAAAACTACCCGTGAGGAGGGCGTGGGGGGATTTTTTTTGGCGTTTCCTATTGCCTCGTTCAATTTTGTTTCGTTTTGAGCTATTTCTAAAACGTGGCGGTATCTGTACCCGAGGCAAAGGACTTTTTTCATAGATACCAGTGAAATAAGCAAACCTAGACTTTTTAAAATAGCAGTTGTTACGATGATATTTCGTTAATTACATTTCGTTTTATGTTCATATATATTCCACAAAATTAATATTAAAACATGCATTTATAATATGAAGAGCAGATATTTAAGAACAAAACTTTTTACTCAATCTGCAGCAATATAATTACAATATGTTTTTTTATTTAATTTTATTATAATGAATTAGTATATAAAACTGTACATGTTATGTTTGTTTACGCGGCCTTAATTGATTAATATAACAATAGTATTGCATGATGAATAATACTGGCAACGTCATGCCCGATGTTGTAACAAGAGGAAATTTTGAGGGTCGGTTTGATGAAGTAAAAGGCGATAGTTTTAGTTCCTCGTGTATTTCTCTCTCTCTCTTTTGTTAACTCTTTGCTATAATGGCTAGAAAATTATATAAATGAATTGGTCTGGTCTTAAATATTATGGATAAATCTTACCTAGCACCAGGTTAATTTATACAAAAATATAATAACTAATAAGACGTATGGTGAAATTTTAAACCACAAGCTGCCGCCGTTATTTGCAAAAGTGAAGAATAAATGTAGAAATAAATTTACTTAAATCGTAGATATTTTTTATCCGCATACCAGATTTACGGTGGTATACGGCGACATCTACAAGACGTGTGTTTGAACGCATTGAATGTTAATTATATTCCGGCCTCGTCTCATAAATAATAGTCTGTAGTACCTTCGGATTAGTCCGAACCGATCACTATTTTAAAGCTGAAAAAGCAAAAACCCCCGCCGCTCGTCCTGCCGCGCCGTACTGCTCCATATTCAGTCTTCTTTTTAGTGCGGACCGATACGTTACGTTTTGATGTTTCGGAGTGCGGAAAACAGTGGAAATGCCGAATCCTTCAAGAAAAAGACATAAAGAGAGGAGTCGTAGTAAGTCTGCGACTCATAACGATATAACAGTTAATACAAGATATATGATATATTCTGCCACAATATTTATCTAGGTTGATAAATATCATAACTTTTTCATAATTATATGTTTTGCTTAGGGTAGCAAATAGCAAGTCTTATATATATAAAAATATATTAAAATAAGGGATATTATAGAAAATAAACGTCGGAAATCAAAAACAAAAACAATAATAATCTCGACTAGCCGAAAAACATAGATGAATCAACAAGTATCTTCAAAAACATCACCTGACACGATCGATACAAAATATGCTTGCATAACAACAAAAAAGAAAGTAACAATATAAAGGTAGACACATACGAAACTATCCTAAAGGTATACACATACGTAATTTATATACATGAAATATTTTATTTTCGTTATCAAATATATATAAAAAATCATTATACCTAGGGTGGTCTAATGTTTACAAGCTATATCTATACAGTATCCTGTCATAATATTTGTCTAGGATGATAAGTATCACAACTTGACAGAATAATATGTTTTGCTTAAGGTAGCAAAATATTAGTAATTCTTATATATAAAAAATCGTTATACCTAGAGTGGTCTATTGTTAATACAAAATATATCTATAGAGTGTCTTGTGAGAATATTTATCTAGGGTGATAATTATCACAACTTGACAGAATAATATGTTTTGCTTAAAGAGCAAATTATTAGCAATTCTTATATATAAAGATATATGTATATATGTGTATATGTATGTATGTGTATGTGTGTGTATATGTGTATATATAAAAAAAAAATCATTATACAAGGATTATACCTAGGGCGGTCTAATATTAATACAATATATATCTATACAGTATCCTGTAACGATATTTATCTAGGATTATAAATATCACAAATTTACATAATTATATGTTTTGCTTAGGGTAGCAAAATACTAGCAAGTTTTATATTAAAAAAAAAAAAATATCATTTTTATTCAAAGTCATTTTCGGAACCTGTTCAGCAGGAAATAGCCACTTCGTGGTCTAAAGTATTAGGTTCTGGTTTGATAGGTGAAGTTAGAAAAGAGCTAACTCAAAAATATTTATCGCCTGAACGTTGCCAGGGGCTATATCCTCCTAAAATAAATCCCGAAATTAGGGCGGTCTTATCCGAGAATACTATAAGACGGTATGAGCGACTTATGCAGTAACAGACAAAGAGGTGCTGCAATATCACCTATCGCCTTATTAATTACAAAGATAATTAAAAAAGGAGGAGGGGGAAATAATTGGCCACACATCGAAAGATTAAGTGACATTGGTAGACTTCTAGGTGAATTATATCTGAGAGGATATCATTCAGAGTCAGTGTCAAGACCATAGCTTCTCCTCATAAATTTAAATAAAGTTACTAAAGACTTTAAGATCCACTCCAGTCTCTATCTTCTATTTGGAAATGAAACCGTTTCTTGGACGAAGCTTAGAACTGATCAGTTTCTTTCCAATATCTTTATTATTCCAAGACCAGATGGAACGATTGATCCTTAACCTTAAGTGATTTAATGAATTTGTTAAAAGGAAACAATAGAAAATTGAACAACATAAAACTGTTTTATGGCACCAGAAGATCTAAAAGAGGTCTACTTTACCTTGTTCCAATTAAAGACCCACACTAAAAATATATAAGGCTTTATATTAACAAATCGCTATGAGTTTGCGAGAACTGTTTGTCTTTTAGGGTTTTAAAAAGATGTTTAAAATTTATTACGGCTCTTCTTAGAAAAAGAGGTTTCTTATTAGTGGCCCTATTTAGATGATATCCTTCTTTTTGCAAATTTTCTGGAAGCTTGTAAGAATAATGTGAAAGAGACATTATTTTCGATTTATTTTTATAGTGTAATTTGAGAAAAGTAACCTCATACAAAATCAAATTTATAAATATTTAGGTTTTTTGTATAATTCACAAGCTATGATTATTTCTTTGATTAAGGAAAGGCGTTTAAAATAAAAATAGTACTATTAGGAAGATTTTCTTATATGACAAGTTGTAAAAGAGATTTTTCACGGTTCATTGGGTCGTTAATTTCAGCTGCTACAGCTATTAAGTAGGTATGCTTTTGACACACTAAGTTGTTCGAAAAGAAGCAATTTTTACCCTTACTAAATTCTAGAGGTAATTATGAGGCAGATACATGGTGCAAAGAAAACAAGGTATGATCGATAGCGGCTCCAATTTCGTTAAGTTTGCGCATACCACCTGTGACGTCATACGCCATACAAAAAAATATCCATATTGTTCAATTGCCACTAATAAAAAAAGACCTAAAATAGGGAAGAATTAGGACATAACCCCAAAAGTTATGTTTTGACATCGAGCTTGACATTTGAAAAATTATTTTCACATTTTGACACAATCAAATTTCACAGATGACACAATCTGTTTGACAATTTAAAATTGGCGCGCAGAGCTTGCCGACCAATGGTGCCGTTTATAACCTGTGACGTAGTGACCAACCTGCGCAATATCATACCTTGTATTATTTGTATCATGAGGCAGATATGTATATATTGCCCTTTTTATCCATGGATTTCGCTTGGTGTTCAAGTAAAATTCAATATTCAAATATCACAATATAACTGGCTGGGGACCTAATTTAACGGTCATACTATTTTTGTTTTTTGTCGAAAGTAGAGAAAGTCTATCATAAAAATGAACCAGAACGTTTAGCTCTATGTTTTGGTCTAAGAAGTTTCATTTAACTGTTTAAATTGTAATGTCCTATGTTGTATTGATAATACAACGGCTATGTGCATGATTAACATCATGGGTAGTGTTAAGTACTAGACTTTAAACAAATTAGCAAGAAAAATGTGAAGCTGGTGGCAAGAACGAAATATTTATGTTCTTATATACTCATATATTGCCTCAAATGACAACATTTTTTGTTGACTGAGCATCTAGAAGAATACAAAGAAACCGAATGGAGTCTTGCAGTGCGGTGTTTGCTTTTAGAAAAATTACCGAGATAATTTGGTTTTTCACACATAGATCTTTTTGCAAGTCGTCTGAACAAAAAGTGTGTAAAATTTGTTTCTTGGGTGAGAGATCCGGAGATATAGATAAGATGGGCTTTAAGAGTTATACAAAAAAGTATTGGGGAAAAGGCAGAGAGAATCCTTGTAATACCCCTTTGGACTTGTCAATAATGGTTTTTTCTTCTTTTTAAGTCACTTTTAGTGTCAAAACCTCTAATTTTTGAACCAAATTCTATTGTCGATTAACTTTTTCCTAGTAGCAGGGTGTCGGGGTGCCGCTATTACAAGGAATTCCCGAACAATAAATATCTCTTCAATATCCAGTTCTACCTTCCAACAGTACTCAATAAGGCTAAAGATGGTAACAATTTTGCATGCTAAATAAATTGGATCCTTTTGTACTTATGGTACCTAATGTCTTGGACCTATCCTAGTCAGCCTAAGAATGGGGTGTCGTATGGTACCCCTAACATATATCTTCTGCGCTGGCACAAATGACAGGCATGTCTTCTGATTCTCGAATGAAAAGGTTCATTAAAGGTATATTTGGATTAAACCCTCCAAAACCAAGGCACAAAAGACTTTGGGACCCTAGTAATGTTCCGAATT